GGATACGACTACTGAAGCCTGAGAAACCTACAGCTTGTGTAATTGTGAACTAGAAATTTTGTAGTATAGCGATAGTGTTGTATTGATTTTAGTCCAGAACTTTGTAAATGTATAATATGTAATAAATTTAATCATCCAATTGCAAACACCGAATATAGTCACTAACATCCTTGAAAATACTTCCTGACACCTATTTATAGATCTTCACAGTTGAATTTCATTACACCAAAATTACTTATATACAGAGTGTCCCAGGAGGAATGGACCAAACTTCGGGAGGGTGTTCCTTATGTTAAAGTATGCCGATATAACCCAAAACACCTATGTCCAAAGTTGAACGGTTACGGAGATAATGGCCCGAGAAAATTGTGGTCTTCTAGCGGGTCTACGGACTATACCAGTCAGCTGAGAGGCCTTATCTATGTTTGTCCTTGAGTGCCGTGATTCACCCTAGCCGTACTTATGTAGTTGTCTTTATCGGAACGCGCAGTCAGCCAAGTTACGTCATCGTTCGCCAGTCATATGTCATGTATAGTGCTTGAAAACCCTAAGGACAATTACGACATGGCGAGCGAGTATTTTGTACTTCAATTTTATGGCTTCACGTCACTCACAAGTTAGTTTGATGTTAGATACATTATTAACATTACAGAATCCATATATTCATGCCAGTTTTAATATGTATTTTGTAATCAACAAGTGTGTAACAGTGGTCAAAGTTTCACATTTCTCTGGCCATGATCTCCGTAACCGTTCAACTTTGGACATAGGTGTTTTTGGTTATATCGGCATACTTTTACATAAGGAACACCCTCCCGAAGTTTGGTCCATTCCTCCTGGAACACTCTGTATATATACTATTTATATTCTCCCCATGCCTACTATATGCCCTGTCCTTTTCATCCTCCTTGACTTCACCAATCCAATTCTAAGTACTTGGCCAATAGTACATTTAGACAGCTGCTCCTTGAGCTGTAAGTGACGTCGCAAAACAACGCTGCAAAAATTAACAGTGAATTCCACCGAATGAAGGGAAGTAAGGTTTATTCATCTCTTCGAATTCTGTGCATAACAGTGGTTGGTCAGGACAGCTCTGATGGGCCGACAGGTCACGTGATGAATCAGTCGCAGTTTGAGTATTAGCGGTTGTCTGACTTTGCCGATTAAAGCAGGGAGAGCTGTGAGGCTGCATGTCTTTGTGATAGCGGTGACGAACTAGGAGTCATTGAACAT